GGATATAAAGAATATCATCTATGAAGAATGCAAATTAAAGGGCAGCACCGGAAGACAGAGCAAAGTATTATAATGAAAAGTGCAAAGAGAAGAAATAGAAAAATCAAAAGGGATGAACTCACAGCATTTCTAAAAATGAAGGAACTGAAGAACAAATCAGGCCTCAAGTTGCAATACTTAAGGATGCTATGGGCAGAATATTGAATGATTCAGGAAGCATCAAAAGAAGGAAGGAGTATAGTCACTGTACCAAAAAATTTGGCTGACACAGAAGAATTTCATGAAACAACATATGATCAAGAAACAATGGTGATGAAGGAGGAAATTCAAGTTACTCTTGAAAATGTAATTTGCAAAAAACAAGATCCAAGGAATTGATGCAATACCAACTGACATATTTCAACAAACAGATACAGTCCTGTATATGCTCACCAGGTACTGTCAAGAAATCTAGAGGATAAAACAACTATGAGCTATCATCTCACCCCAGTCAAAATAGCAAAATTTAACAGAACAGCAAGCAACAAATGCTGGTGAGGTTGTGGAGAAACTGGAACCCTTATTCACTGTTGGTGGGAGTGTAAAATGGTGCAACCCCTGTGGAAGGGGGTATGGCGCTTTCTCAAAAAGTTGCAAATAGAGATATCATTTGACCCAGCAATTCCACTACTGGGAATATACCCCGAAGAGACCATAACTGACATCCAAGCAGATATATGCACACCCATGTTTATTGTGGCTTTGTTCACAATAGCAAGGAGTTGGAAACAACCTAAAGTGTCCATCAACAAATGAATGGATAGAGAAACTGTGGTATACTCACACAACAGAATATTATGCTGCATTGAAAAACAAGGGACTCATGCAATATTATTCAAAATGGTTGACTCTGGAGAACATTATGCTGAGTGAAATATCCCAGTCACAAAAGGACAAATATTGCATGGCGCCACTGTTGTAGAACGGGACTGACATTGGGGTTGGGGAGAGACTGAGTAAGATGGGTTCAATAATGTATACTGCACTGAAACAGAGGAGGGAGAAAACTGTTTAAAAGAAATATGTGATTAGGTATTTCTGTCATGACAGGAGTCTAGAGCGATGGCTACATGGTGGAGTGGACCTGGGGGAGGAGGGTTTGTAAAACAATGAAAGAATTTTTCTTTTACTTTTCCAAGAGGGTAGCGTTCTGGGGGGAGCCTTGGGAGGGGATAAATGTGCAACAATGAATGAATGGAAATTCAAAGCCTCTGTAAATTTTTACTGAAATTAATAACAAATTTAAATTTTTTAAAAAAGAATTCAGTTAGAATAAGGATGGCAATGGATTTATAACAGCTCATGCTAATAACACTATATCGTGGCATGGAAGAGGAATAGTGGAAATGTATCCACATTTACGACATTCCTCTTACCAAAACCACTTATGGAAAATAGGAACTTCATTGGAACATGTATCTCTGGATTAGAAATGATGATATTGTTAATATTTCTAGTCTTAAGCTTAAAAGATTATAATGTTCAAAATTATTTGTTATACATTTGTTTAAATTTTTCCTCTTTTAACAACTGGGATCTAGAGGGAAGAGAAAAGACCAGAGAATGGCCAAAATTATTGGGGCAGCTATTGCTGCCAGTTTAGGGCCTGTGTTAGGAAAAGGAAGTCTTGCTCATAAACAGTGCCACCCAACGGTAATAAGGGAGGTCAGAATTGCTTTCACTGTGGAAAGCTGGGCCACTTCAGTAGACAGTATCACAGACGAGAGCCACAGATAGGCAAAGGAGTAGAGAGGAAGCTCCCACTCACTTGCTTTAAGTGTGGATCTGAAGGACACTTGGCCAAGGGTGGCTCACATCAGGTCCTCGTGGCAGACAGGACTGACAGGCCCCAGCTCCCAGCTGGAAACAAAGGAGGATTCTTCAATGATTTAGATCCTCCCAGAAGAGCTGTGGGTGAGCATTAACATTACTGAAAAGTATATTCGTTTTCTCCTAGACACAAGAGCCTGCTATTTGGTCCTAAAAGCCTTCTGAGGTCCCAACTCTTCTCAATATTTCTTAGCTGTTGGAATGGACGGAAAACCTCATAAGCAGTTCCTTACTTCACCTCTGCCTTGCATGTGGACTTCCAAGTTGTATAACAACCCAGTTGTAGATGGAATTTGCTCCAGGACTTAAGAACAATAAATGACATAGTTGAGCCTCTACATCTTGTGGTTCCTAACCTTTATGCTATAATAGACAAAGTGCTAGTCAATAGGCCTTTTATTGTAAGAACTACCTTCCCTCTGTAACTTGATTTGTGCCACTATTAGAGCCTCTACTTGGAATATTAATGCTTTTTAATTTTTGACTCATGTAGTTTTAACTTGTTAGCTAAATTTGTGTCTTCTAGGCTGCAACACTTCTATGATACATCTTCAAGGACATGAACATGTACGGCTAAGCACAATTGACAACAGTGCTTCTAAATTCCAAAATCAATCTCCATAATAGTCTATGCGTTTCCTACGGCCAAAGGGGCCCTTTAGAGTAGTGAAAAAAGATCTTCACCCTGAAATCCACAGCGTCCCTTTTCAGCAGGAAGTAGCTAAGAGAATACGCCATCCCCTTTTCCTTATGAATCAGGGTGAAGTCTCTCTCAGGGAGGAGTGATAGGGAATGGCAAAGGACACACTGACAAAGGAGATTAATCAGAACTGGCTTTGACAAGCACTGTGGCAAATGGACAATTAAAACAGACTTTCAGGGGCGGGGGAAAGAAGAACAAACTGGGGAGGAGGGTAGAGAAAATAGTGCAACAATGAATGAATGAAAACCCAAAATCTCTGTAAATGTCCATTTAAATTAATAAAATTTAATAATTAAAAAAAAGAAATCTAGAGGATAACTATCTGATCAACAGACTGGAAGAGATCTGTATTTATTCCCATTACAAAAAAGATGATCCAACAGAATGTAGAAATTATTGAATAGTATTAATATCACATGCAAGCAAAATCTTGCTGAAGATCTTACAAAAATGACTGGAGTGTTACATCGACAGAAAACTTCCAGAAGTGCAAGCTGGGTTTAGAAGAGACTGTGGCACTATGGACATCATAGCCAATATTAGATGGATCTTGGCTAAAAGCAGAGAGTACCAGAGGAATGTCTACCTGTGTTTCACTATGCAAAGACATTTATTTGACTGTATGAATCACAACAAGTTGTGGCTAACCTTGAGAAGAATGGGAAACCTTTCCTTAGAGAAGGAAGCAGTCATCAGAACAGAGCAAGGAAACACTACATGATTCAAAATCAGAAAGGAGTGTGTCAGGAAAACCTCCTATCTCTGTAACTTTTCAATCTTTATGCATAACAGATCATCTGAGAGTCTGGACTTTATGAGGAGGAATATGGCATCAGGATTGGAGGAAGACTCATCAACAAACTGCATTATGAAGATGACACAACCTTGCTTGCCAAAACTGAGGAGAACCCAAGATGTTTGCTGCAGAAGGTCAAGGCCTGCAGCCTTCAAAATGGATTGAAGCTTAACATCAAGAAAACAAACATTCTTACCACTGGGCCAACTGGCAGCACCATCATAGATGGAGAAGAGATTGTTCACAATTGCAGCTTGCTTCATTCCACAATCAACACCCATGGAATTAGGAAAATCTACTGTCAGGACCTCTTCAGAGTGCTAAAGAGCAACAATGTCATCTACAGACTAAGGTGCACCTGATTCAGTTCAGGATCTTGACAATTACTTGTTATGCATCAGAGAACTGGATTAAGAATGATAGAAGAATAATTGATGCTTTTGAGTTGTGGTGCTGGCAACAAGTATTGAACATTCCATGGACTGCCAAGAAAATGAATAGGTCTATCCTGGAGAGGATGAAATAAAATTGCCCCTTGGAGGCTAAGACTTTGAAAATTCTATCTCACATACTTTGGGCGTGTTGCCAGGAGGGACCAGTCTTTGGGAAAGGATATCATGCTTAGAAGAGTGGATGGACAGTGCAAGAGAGGAAGACATGGGATGAGATGGTAATGGGAGTAAGTGTGTTTGAGACAGTGAGACTGGCTCAAGACAGGGCAGGGGAGAGTCACTGAGAATCTGCCCGAGTCACAGGCAACTTGACGGAACACAGCAACAACAAAATCACATGAAAGGAGACTGCCCATTTTTCTTCTATAGAGCAGCTGGTGGATTTGAACCATTTACCTTGGGGTTAGCAACATAACTCCTTTTCCACTAGACTATCAGAGCTACACACACAAAAGGGCAATTTGAAGACCAACTGTTCTCCCTGACTTTTCTGCAGAAATCTCCTAAGACCCCTGAGAGTTCCTCTTTCCTCCCACAATTAGCTCGGTCAGTGAGAGCGCACAGAGCCCCTCCAGTTCTCCACATGCAGAGGGTTTAGCTAGCGGGCTTTTCCTCCTGTGATGCTGTGGTGTGTGTGTGGACTGTCCATAAACATCCATTTCTGACGGGGGCTTGGAGGGAGGCAGCTCTGAGGGCCCCAGTCTGGCTCAGCCAGGGACAAACCAAGAGGATCCCCCCATGTATTAGCAAGAAAAATTGAGGTTCTGGAGGAAACCAATCAGGGAGAAAACCACATAGAGGCTGTAGTCTGGGCTGTGGATTTTGTAAACCAACTTGTCCCAGCCCTGACCTCATGTGGAGCAGTGCTGTTTTCCATGCCCCCTGACCCTCCGGGGGTCCCAGGGCTAGGTCGGGACAGGCCTGCGTCACTGGGCACAGCATTCCTTTCCCACAGCCCTCCTGCTCTGAATCCGGAAGTCTTGGTAACCTCCCTCCACCTAGCTGGGTCCCACGGATGGGATTTATGGCTGGTTCCTCTACCAAATGCCCCAGAGAAATAAATCAAGGCAAAGAGAATCACAGCCATCTCACGCAGGGAGCATATAAAAGGAGAAAGGTTCTGGTAGCCAAACAGCTTCAGTGCATCCCCACAAGGAACACCACAGGACCCAGGTGAAGCATGGACGTGCAGAGAAGGATGGCTCACTGGGGACTCCTGCTGATGCTCTGGGGCTACTGCACCTTTGGCCTCCCAGCAGATCCCCGCACCTTCAGAAGGTAACTAGAATGACAGCAGGTAGAGGGGAGAAAATGTCTCTAACCTATTCAGCTTTCAGATCTGTGGTGTCATCCCATCCTTATGACCAGAGGAGCAGGGAGGTCTGTTCTCATTCAGAGAGACTGGGTGACTTGCCCCAAATCACACATGTCTTTTGATTCCTGCCCAGAGCTGCTGGCTACATACAGTAAAGGGCGCTTAGAGATGAATAACTAGCAGGGAAGTAGTGCAATATTAAAAGGAAGATTATTACTGCTGAATTATCTTTAAGTTTATCTGTGCTAGCAGAACTAACCAGTTCTGGAACCACAGGTGAGTTACTTAACCTCGTGAAGGCTTGGTTTATAGATTTTGATAAAAACAAAGCTAATAGCCATACCTGCATCACTGGAGTGCTTTGTGGATGTAATGAGATAGTGCCTGTAAAGCTGGTAGCATGGTGCCAAGCACACTGTAAACTCCTAGGTTACTGGTACATCCCCACAGGGCAGATTAGCATAAGGTGAAAAGAAAGCATTATGAGGCGCAAAGAGGGAAGGAGGAAGACATGGCACCTTCTGGTGTCCTGTGGGAACAAATAGTTCAGTGGGGCTGGAGGAGAGGGGGAGACAGGAACTGGGAAGGTCTTATAGAAAAAGGGACTCTCTGTGTGGGGTGTACAATTGAGACCAGGAGATCCAAAGATTAAAGAGTAGGTTTAACCATAGTAATAGTTCCTAAGACTGAAAAATGTCTAGGATTTCACACAATCTTGTCACATGTCTCAGGAGAGCTCTGGTGTCAGAGTGAGTAAGGTGTTGTGCTGACATCCCAAAAGTGAGCTGTTCAAATCTACCAGCTACTCCAAGAGAGAAAGATGGGCAACCTCCTTTGTAATATGGAATCTCTGGAAACCTGCTGGGGGCTCAGCTATCCCTTGGTTCTGACTTGACAGCAATATGTTGAGTTTGAGCTGAGTTTTCACATCTCTTTAGGACTCCCGGTGGTCACCGTGGTTAATCGCTTGCCTGCTAAACGTGAGGTAGGCAGTTTGAGCCTGCCAACTGCTGCATGCATGGGAGAGATATGGCAGTCTGCTCCTGTAAAGATTATAACCTAACCTGATTGACTTCTCTGGAAGGAGTCATAACAGAGGGGCCTGAATAGAGTGGAAGAAAAATGTGCAACAAAACACAAAATCATATAAAAGACCAGGCTTATTGGTCTGATTGGTCTGATAAAGATTGGTGGGTTCCCAGTTAATCACCTTTACTTACCCTTCATGCCTGGAACTGAATTCATTCCATGGCTCAACTTCAGTCAAACAATAAATAGGCTTATAGGGTGAGCAGTAACTTCTTAGAACAATGAACCATACAGATCTAAAGGGCAGCATGTGTCCAGGCAGGAAGGGAGGGGAAAGAAGACTGGAAAGCCAGGGCGACTAGGGAGGGAACGGGGCAAGTGCTGTTACATGGCGGGGCTTGCAATCAGTCCTGAGTCAAAATGTGCATGAATGGCTGAAAGGGAAACCAATTTGTTCTGTAAACTTTGAACTCAAACCACAATAAAAAGAAACCAAAGATTATTAGTAGTTACCAGGGTGTGTGGGAGAAACAAAGGATGTACAAAATAGCCACACACCCACTCTTTTTTTTTTCCCCGTCTTCATGCCAGAATCCTTTCATAAAACTCATTACCCTCTAGTTGGAACTGATTGAAAGGCTCTTTCAGGGTGCGGGTGGCCAGAGAAACTTGACTATTGGGTAATCTCAGCATGCTGTCAGTTTTCAGGCCTTCCAAAGCTGACAGAGCTTGAGACTAGGACTAAGCTCTAGTCATATCCTCCAAGCATAAGGTGCACAGGAACTCAGGAGATTCGGCTGACCCTCCCTAGTCCAGTTCAGTTGGTCCACTCTGCCTGCCAGACCTTGACTCTGCCTGCCCCCAGGCGGCCCTGTATCCCCGCAGGCTACAGCGGGCATCTGCTGCCACCTACAGGTACCAAGTGGTACTGCGTCCTCCTGCCCCTAGCACTAAGGGGAGCCCCTCTCCAGAGATGCATCCAGAGATGTCACTGAATGTTTCCTCCTCTGTCTCTCCAAACTGCTGGAATTCCTTGGAGACAGTGATGATCTTTTCTCTTTTCACATCCCCAGTTTCCAGCACAATGCCGGTGGAGAGTAGGTGTCCATCATGTAACTATGGAGTGAATGAATGAAGGTCCACGCAGGGATGGTGTTTTTGCAGACAACACGAGGACATTAGTTGAGTGTCATTTAATTCCAGTACAAGTGATTTATGAAGGCTGATAAATTTTCCTTCAGGGTTCTTGGGGAACAACAGTGATTTCTTGGTTGCCTGGGGACAGGCTGAGGGTTGGCAGTCCCTGAGGCCACCCCTGCTTCTGGTCCCCTCAGCCTGGTTCAGGAACCTGGATTCTCTGATCGTGGAAACACCGTGCATGTCAGAGTAGAATTCTGGAGGAATTCTGATGGCTGAGTTCTCTAAAATCGATCACCAGGCCTTTCCTCCAAGGTGAACATGAACCTCCCACCTGTCTTAGCAGCTCGGCATAATAATGGTTTTCACCATGGCTGTGGCAATGGGATTGTGAGGATGGCACGGGGTAGGGCAGCATTCAGATTGGTTGTTCATAGGATCGCTATGAGTAGGACTCGACCCGACAGTGCCTGACAACAACCACCTCCACCCAGGGACTCCACAGGGGAGTATAATCCTCTTCTATTGTTTTCTCTACCCTGGACCAGGATCTTACTTAAGAAAGTGCCCTCAGTCCGGGAAAGCCTGAAGGATCGAGGCGTGGATGTGGCCAAGCTTAGCGAAGAGTGGAGCCAGTTCACCACGCGGGTCTCTCTGAGGAACGGCACGTCCCCCATGATCCTCACCAACTACCTGGACGTGAGTACCCGCCCCAGCGCTGATCCCTCTGCATCGCCCTTCAGCTGGGGGCTTCACATTTTCCTTTCACTTCCTTAGTTCACATTCTCTTTGGCTGAGGACCGTACAAAATTGTACGGTCAGCTAGGGAGCCTGAGGCCTAGAGGACAGGAGGAAGTTCACACTTAGGAGCAGGCCCTTGGCCTCACATCCAGGTCTCTCTCCAGGGCGGGGAGGGAGTGTAATCTCTGGTGGGTGGTCTGTGACCTACCTCAGCACAGGGTGCATTTCTGCCTCAGTGGTGCCCTCCACGGTAGGGGGCCTTCCTGCTTTGTTTCCACTGTTTCTCACTGAGTAGCCCATTATGGGAAGTCACAGGACAGTGCTAAGCCTCCCCCCCTCCCCAGTCCCTGCTCGAAGATGGAAACCCTGAGGTTATATGGTCTGCCTCACCTGGCGTGGAAACTCAAACCTGGAGCCAGGTAAGGTCCTTCTGTGGCTCAAGCCTCTTTCATCTTTCCAGCAGCCTTTTTTTCTTTCACTCCTACAGACACAGTACTATGGCGAGGTCGGCATTGGCACCCCACCCCAGACCTTCAAAGTCATCTTTGACACGGGGTCGGCCAACCTCTGGGTGCCTTCGAGCAAGTGCAGCCCTCTCTACACAGCGTGTGGTAAGATCCAGACCTTTGCCGCCACTCCCCAAGCTCCCTGGCCAGTCCTGTCTCCAGTCTAGCTAGAATTCCTCCTGCTGCCCTTTAAGCTGCTTCCTCTCCACCTGTGCTCCCAGTGACCCCAGTCTTCTTGACGCTGAAAGGACTGAATTCTCTAACGCAGCCCAGGCCCTTGGATCCTCCATGCCCATCCTGAGTCCACAACCTGCCATTGAGTGCTCACTCTACACTCAATCTTTTCTTCATTGCGCTGTTAACAATTATTTTTTTAAAGTCCCATCTGAAACCAGACAGGCCTATGAGGTGAACAATAGCACTGAGGTGAACCATAACATTAGGGAGGTACTTACTCCTTTCAACAGTCAGCCATGCAAGATCAGAAGGACAGCCTTTGTCAAAGGATAGAGCTCAGAAGGCAGAGGGGGCAGGATGGAAGGATTAATGGAAATGAGAACCACATGGAGGAAGTGGGAAGAGCTTGGTTTTGTTATAATTAATGTCATGAAACAAAATGTGTGTGAGAGGTTGAATGGAAAGATTTGTAAACTTTCACTCAAATCCTAACAAGAACAAAAAAATAAGTTAGTAAAATATTATTATCTATGAACTTTGAGAAAAGATAGTTATAGAAAGGCTTGAGGTCTTTTGCTCATAGGGTCACTGTGAGTTGTGCTCAACTCAACGGCAATCAACAACAATAAAAAATAAAATATTGAAATGAAATGCTCAGAGCTGTGGATATAACAAGGGGTCAACGAACACAGTCCTGATAGATGGAACACATTTTCCAAACTCCTACCTCAGGGGCCCCACCCTTAGTCTCTGACCACACCAGTCATCCCCACCTCAAGGCCTGCCTCCCAGTTCCCCGGTGCAGACTTACAATAGACCAGCGTTTGTGTCCCTCCGCCAGAGACCCACAACCGCTACGACTCCTCGGAATCTTCCAGCTACGTGGAGAACGGCTCGGAATTTGCCATCAACTATGGATCGGGGAAAGTCCGAGGCTTCTTGAGTCAGGACGTGGTGACCGTAAGTCAGGCCACCCCTGATCACCTGGATCCTTCCGTGTCCTGGGTACCAAGGAGAAGGTGCACTCCAGCCCAGCGAGGCCTGGGCTGCTGGGGAACCCGCTCTGTGGCTTCTCGCTGGAGCTTCAGTGCAGTAGAGTCTGTGGTGGAGTAAACCTGGACAGCTGGCTCAGAACTGTGGATGATGAAGGGTTTTACATCTCACAGGCTCCAGTCAAGTCAGCCAACTCTGACTGGACTCTTACAGACCTTAGACTGAGAATCAGGGTCACCGTTAGTTTTAGGATCAGATAGTAGGTTTTATGATCCTACCTGGTACTTAGGTGGCATAATCCATAGGGAGTCGCACTGTTAACCCAAAGGCAGTAAGTACCTCTCTGGCAGTTTGAATCTACCAGTGTCTCTGTCGGAGAAAGATGAGAAATTTTCTCCCATTCGATTAATTAATAGCCTTGGAAAGCCCCCTGGAGGGGCAGCCAGGAGTCTGTTCTGACTTGACAGGGATGAGAGAGAGGGTTGATGTTTGAGTATAGGATAGGGGCCAGGGCTTGGTTTCTTTTTCATTTGGCCTGTGTCTGATGTCTTCCCTGGTCTGGAGTTTCTCCAGCCCCTGCTTTGCTAGAGTTAGGGGAGGGGTGCACATGGAACCTGACAGGGAGGACTAGGTGGGCCCTCACCACTTCCATTGCTTGTGAAAACAGGTTAAAGATAACAAAAAGGGCAGGCTTTGCTGTGCTGATGAAGCCTGAGTCTGGACTGGGGGCAAGGGGCCAGGCTCAGCTGGAAAGCTGGGCCACGGGACAGCAGTGGGGAAGTTCTTAGTGTATTCTCTGGGACTTCAGGACAATGACAGTTTTTCAGTTTATGCCATTTCCAGTCTTTGGGCAACCCCAACTCTCTGAGTCCCACAGTCCAAGTGTGTATTAGGAGACAAGGTATAGCATTGATGAAAGATCTGATTGGACTTACTACAAATTTCTGTACCCTAAGGAGGTCTCATGGTGTGCTCTGTAGAGAGCGTTGCTGTTAACCCAAAGGCTCCACCTCTCTGACAGTTCAAATCCACCAGAAGCTCCATAGGAGAAAGATGGGCAATCTCCTCTCACGTGATTTATAGCCTTAGAAACCCAACGGAAGGTCCTCTATGCATTGGTTGGTTCCACCTCAATAGCAGTGAGTTGAGAGAGAGAATATATGTGTCACTGGAGCCCCCATCACTGAAGCAGACCAGATCCTAGCCTGGGCATGGACGGCAGGCTAAATCCCCTATGCTCCCCCTTCTTCCCACAGATGGGCGGAATCATGGTGACACAGATGTTTGGAGAAGTCACGGAGCTACCCGTGATACCCTTCATGCTGGCCAAGTTCGATGGGATTCTGGGCATGGGCTTCCCTGCCCAGGCAGTCAGTGGGGTCACCCCCGTCTTTGACAACATTGTCTCTCAGGGGGTGCTGAAGGAGGATGTCTTCTCTGTCTACTACAGCAGGTGGGACCTGGGATTCAAGAGGCCAGGGTGTGAGAGAAGGGGAAGGCCAGGTTGCTGGAGAGTTTGGGTCAGGATTTTGATGGGTTCGTGAGTAGGTGGGATTGAATAGGTAATTAACTGTGCTCCAGGTCTACCTGACTCAGTATGACAGCCACCAGGAAGCACTCACTTCTTCAGTGGCACAAGTCACATTGCAAATATTTAACAGTCACAGTGGTTACTGGCTACCGTACAGGCAGTGTAGATGCAGCAGAAAGTTCTACTGGACAGCACTGACCTAGGACGGGGGCTTGGGAAGAGGGGAAGAAAGTAAGACACTACTACAGCTTGGACCCCTCTCTGTGGGGACCTAGGGGTCCTCTCGTACAAAGACAGCCAGCATTATCCATTTGTCCCTTCATTCATTTGCTCCCTTATTGAGTCAATAAATACTGAAATAGGCAGCTAGACATTGGGCATTTCAGATATGACGCTGGGCTTGGCAGAGAACACAGTGAACAAGACAGAAGCCTTACTCCCGTGGAGTTTACCAACTAATAGAGAAAACCAAAGCATTACAATGTGATACATGATACGAGCATTTGGGGAGCGCACAGCTGATAAGTGTAGATGCTTTTCTATTCTAGGATGAGCTTCTGTGCAGTTCAACGGCCTTGTGGGAACTGTTGTCATGATCTGAGCAAGGCTGTAATCTGCTCTGAGCTATGAGGTTTAGAAAAATCATATTAGCTGGAGATGAACAATCACAGGGCTAAGGAGGCAGTGAGGAGGAAGTGGAGGGTAGGTGTCTAGAGACAACACCTCGGAGGCCAAATGGAGAGAAACAGAAGCGTTGAGGGAAGGGGCCTTATTCGGTTTGTGGCTCTCCAGACAAGGTGGATTTGGGGCAGAGCTATCATAGAGGAGTGGTGGGGGCAAGATGATGGCAAACGGTAAGAGGTAGATGAGGTTTGAGAAAGCGGAGGATGCAAACGTGGGCTGCCCTCCTTGGGAAGGGAAATTTAACAGGGAAGGAATTGGGAGATGAGGACGTGGGGAGAGATCCAGAGAGAAGCAGGGGAAGGGAGGAAAGTGGGTGGTGTTTTTAAATGTTAAGGAATGCCTGAGCATGCTTGTAGGCGGAGGAAGAAACCAATGAAAAGTGAGAATGAAAATGTGGGAAAGAGGAGATAATCAGGATACATAAGCCTGGAGGCCCCAAAGCAAACAGGAAGAAGGTGGACCCCCTGGAGGAGAGGGCCTGTCTCTTGCTTTACTGCAGGAAAGTGAAGGAGAGGATGTCCTGGGAGATCCTGAGGTCACAGAGGGCAGGAGGGACGTGTGCGGTTACATGCACATATGCACTGTATTTGCAAGCATGCAATTAATGACATTTGCACAAAATGACATGTGCGTACCTGTACAAACATGTACACACGGTTCTTAGTGTGAGCGCTTCAAAACATCAGGTACACTCCAGAGACTTTGTGCAATTCAGAGAGGAGGTGGGTGAGGGGGTGATCAGCTTTGGACTGGGCTCCCTGACCCATCCACTCACTACAGCCTGGGTGACTTCGGGCAAGTGGCACTGCCTCTTGGTGATTCTAGGGCTTGACGGGTAAATGAGGATTACTAATCCCCACCCTACCAATCCAAGGCCTCCTTTCCCCTCTTTCTCTTTCTCTACAGAAATTCCAAGTAAGGAGATGAATGAGCTCCCTACCTGGTCCTGACCCTCCAGAACTCCCTGCGCACCTGACCCAGAATCTCACATCTCACCCACCCACAACTCACCTCAGCAGGCCCCGCCTTCACCTAATGCTGATGTTCTCTGCACCTCCCTGCTGCCCTCTTCATATGCCCTCCCCATTCTTCACCCCAGATTCCCTTCCTAAACACCTGGTCAGCAAGTGGCAACCCAAGCCGGAGTGGGGCAGAGCCAGTTTGCATCTCGTTTGCATTCTACTCACTGCCCACAGTGACCTCTCTGGGTGCAACTGGCCTATCCAGGAAAAACCTCTGGTTGGGCTTACGGAAGGGCAAGGGACATGGAGCAGCAGTGTGTCCTGTGCACTCTGTCGTGGCAGCTTCCACGTCTTGCCCTGCGCACTGCCTCTCTCTCCTCCCTTGCCCAAATGTCCCCTAGCTGCTGGGGTTGCTCCAGCTTGGAGGTTACAGTCTCCAAAGAGCTTCTGATCTTCCCTTTAGGAATTCCCGCTTCCTGGGAGGCGAGATTGTGCTGGGAGGCAGCGACCCTCAGTATTACCAAGGGAACTTCCACTACGTGAGCCTCAGCAAGAATAACTCCTGGCAGATCAGAATGAAGGGGTCAGGAAGCCTCCACCCTCTCGCTCTGCACCGATGCTGCTGCCACCCGGGCGGGGGTGGGCTGGGGAGGGGGCATCACCACCATCCCTCCCTCTCCCCAAATGCAGCTGCCTCTCAAGTCACTGCCAGCCTCTGCTCTCTGCCAGCTCTTCCCAGGCCTGAGGGACCCTGAGACATAAGAAACGGGGCAGAGGGGTTAGCAAGAGGATGGAGGGCGTCTCTAAGCCACATACTGAGGGGCGGGACACACCTTCTTACTTCCCTGCTTACTGCCTTACCCTACCCCATCAGTCAGCATGACCTCTGATCACCTGCTCTCACTCAAGAACGATGTACAGCCTGGTGGTGTCCCCTCAGCCTTCTGTCTGTCCGTCTGTGGCCTCCCTCAGGGTATCTCTGAGTTCGACTATTATGTTCTGTAAGGAGGGCTGCATGGCTGTGGTGGACACGGGCGCGTCCTTCATCTCGGGACCCACCAGCTCCCTGAAGCTGCTCATGCAGACTCTGGGGGCCAAGGAGCTGATCAAGAATGAAGTAAGCTACCCACATGGGAGCCAGGGTGCCACTTGATCCAGGCCCCAGCTAGCCATAGGCACCACGGGGCCCTCTACACCCCTTGCACTCACAGTGAGGGCAGACACTGCAGCTTGCCTTCTCCAGAGAGGCCGGGCCACAAACATAGGGTTCTATGTCTGCTGACGGGCCTCCCCCACTCAAGGGGCTCCTTTCCCCCAACTAGTACGTGGTGGACTGCAACCAGGTGCCCATACTCCCCGACATCAGCTTTCATCTTGGAGGCAGATACTACACGCTCACCAGTGCGGACTACGTACTGCAGGTGAGCCGGGGCTGCGCTTTGTGCTGCAGGGAGATAGGGGCAGGGGCCCCCAAAAGGGATAAGTCCTAGTACACCCACCTCAAACCTGGCTGACTGTTCCCCTCTGGAGAGTTTTTCAAAATCCCCATAACCAGGCCACAGCCTACAATTGTCAAACCAAAACTTCAGGTAATGGGACCAAAGATCACCAGTTGTTTGTTTAAAAATTTGTATTGTCAAAAAAAAATTGTACTGTTGTTGTTGTTGTCACTGATATTGAAGAAGAGAGTTCTGGTAATGTAGATTGTAGGGAGTTGCATTGCTAACCCGAAGGCTGCATCTCTACCAGTTCGTATTCACCATGGCATCAAGGGACAAAGAGTGGCCTCCCATGTGATTTACACCCTCTGGAAAAACACTGGAGGGTCAGCTATGAGTTGGTTTTTGTTTGAGGGCAATGAGAGATATTTTTTGTTGTTGTTGTTAAAAATGTACACAGCAAAACATATACCAATTCAAGCGTTTCTACATGATTGCATTCTTCAAGTTGCTCAACCATCGCGCGCCTCTTTTTCTGAGGACTTCCCTCCACCATTAACATGAACTCACCATCCCCAAGATTCTCCTCTAACCTTTTGAGTCACTATTGTGAATTTGGGGACCAAGGTTTATCAGATTCCCTACGTGATTCCAGTGTGGAGCCAAGTTGGCAAATCAAAGCACTTGACCCTTCACCTCTTTTCTCTCATCAAATGTTCCCACTAGCCCGGTACTGGGGATGTTCTGACCCTTTTTTATACTCAATAGGCTTGTCATCAGCTACTGTTGAATCAGGACCCAACTCCTTGTGACCCCAGGCCCTATGGGATCAGACCCCTGGGATCTTTTTACTGGCTGCTTTTTTGCAACTAGATCACCAGACTTTTCTTCCTCAGTGGATTTAGAGAAGTTAGGACACGTGTCTAGGATTAGAAGTTAGGCTAGACCATAAACTCTTAAAGGAACATTCGTCTGATTACTTGCCCAGACTAGTACAATCACAATGGGTATTGTCATTTAAGTGGCCAGAGGTGATGAAATTAAAAACCAAACCTTCATGGTGACCCTGTATGGCCCATCGTGACCCTCCATTGGGTTTCAGACTGTAAAAGTCTTTATAGGAAGAGATCACCCATCTTTCTCCCGAGGAACAGCTGGTGGATTCAAGCCACCAGCCTTTTGGTATCAGCCCAACACATTGCATGCTATGCCACCAGGGCTCTTTGAAGGTGATGATGAAGGTGTTGTGTGAATGGGGGGCTGCTGAGAGGGCTGGGGGTCAAGCAAGATGAAGGGAGGTATTTGTGCAATGGGTAGTGAGGAAATGCTTTTGCCTCCTGCAGGATCCTGGCAATAATGATGAGGACCTGTGCACACTGGCCCTCCATGGCCTGGACGTCCCACCGCCAACTGGGCCCCTCTGGGTCCTGGGCGCCAGCTTCATCCGCAAGTACTACACGGAGTTTGACCGGCGTAACAACCGCATCGGCTTTGCCTTGGCCCTCTAAAGTCTTCTGCCTGGGCATGCCCTGTCCTCAGCTCCAACCGAGGACTGGGGCCACCTTCTGAGGGCACTGTCTACCTGGGCTTGTGTCCTTACACAGGGCACTGAGCCCAGAGCCGCTCTGGACATTTGCCTTTCTCTGCTTTGAGAACAAACAGAATAAAGACTTCACATTGGCAACTCACTGAATCTGGGTTCACTGGAGTCTGGAACAGGAGGAGGGGCAGCCGCATGATTGCGTGCAGACACAAATGTGACACAGACTGACAAACTGTACATATTGACCCAGGTGCTAAACCCTGGCATGCAGATGCAATGCCATTGTCATCCTTAACTGCCAACAGCATCCACAGGGAATTGTTTAGACAACTATGGGTGAGAAATTTGCAGAGTCAACCCTGTGCCCTTCCAGTCCCTCAGAAGATGAAGGCTAATGCTTTAGCAGTTGACTGTGAGCCAGAATGATGCTCCCAGACGGTGGGAAGCAGCCCCAGCTCAGGCTGTGCTCAGCTATCTCATGCATACAAAACTCTTTCCAGTTCCACTTCTCCTCCACTGCACCTCCCTTGTCTTCATTTCCACCCATGTAGGCGTGCACATGGAAAGCTGAAGGCACCATCACCTAAAAACTTGGGCTTCAGACTGGTTTAAACATATTTAAAGTCATAAAATGAAGTATAATGTCCTACTAGACACACTTCAAGTACTCAATAGTCCCATGTGGCTACTGATCCCTGGTTTGGACAGTGATAGAAACACAGCATTTCTCTCAGTGCTGAAGTTCCCTTGGCAGAGCAACGAGGAGAGAACATTTGTGATGGAGAAGTTCTTGATTAGGCCAAAAGGGCAGCTTGGGAAAACAGAAATGGGCCTCTTCTCTGACAGTACTTCTCTGGGTGGGGCTGTCTGTGATGGATTCAGTTACTACTCAATTCCTGAAAGAAAATCATGAAAGCAGGTGACTGAAGCCTTCCTGACAAGAGAAGTGGAAGTCAACAAGTCCTGCTTGAGAGGTGACAGCAAATGACCAGAGAAGTCCAGTGACCAGAGGTGGCTTTTCCCAAATATGGCTGGTCTCTCTCCATTTCTCCTCCTCCCATAGCAACTCTCCCTGCGGATGCGTTGTCGTCCACCCCACCACCACCACCAGCACTCTCTTCTCACACACACATTCTCACACTTCTGTACACATACACTAACACACATGCATTCCCATACACATCCATTCTCACATATTCTAGACCTTACACACCCCTTATCCTGGCCTTCTCTCAAGGCTGAATGCATGCTCTGCCTCACCTCTAGCCCTTATTAGGTGCCACAGAACCGACTCATGGCTCATTTTCTAGCGAGTTTTCAGAGGCTGCAAATGGTACCGAAAATTGCCCATCTCCTCATGCAACTGGTGGACTTGAACTGTGTACTTTAAAATACGCAGCACAACTTCTTACCACTAGGCTACCAGAGTCCCCCCCCACACACACACACCTCTTTCCATTGCTCAGCAAAACTCTGGGCTCAGTGACACCTGCTTGCTGCTCCAAGAAAAGCCTGTTCCAGGAAAGCCAGTTCCAGGGGTTCAGAGAAGGGAGCCAAGGAGCAAGCACATAAATGGGGGAGCCCAAGCGACCTCTTAGGATCAGCTAGATCTCTTTCAAGATGGTGTGTGGGCTCAGGTAAAGTTCGCCCTCGCCCGGTCAGCATGCGGACCCTGCCTGGAAGTGACCGCGGGGACAAGCCCTCCGGCAGGGGCCTGGGTGGGGGCGGAGCCTGTGGTGCCCCGCCCCCGACGTCACCAGCCTCCGCTGGGGAGCCCCCTCCTCCCCGCCGCGCGCCCC